AATGCCACTTGGCCGATCTGTGGTCGCTCGCATTGAGCTTTGCTGCCCTCTGAGCGGAACGACGCCGAAGCACGCCACCGTGAAGTTTATTCGGTGCGAAGTTTCCTCGAGTTTCGGCCGAGAGGATTCCTTCAGTTTCCATTTCCGACCACTCGAGAAGTCGTGGATTTGTCGCAGCTGTTCTTACCACACTCTACGACCATGTTGCTAAAAGTTTGTTTGCCAGTGGGATTATTTTTTCTTCATCGTCAACGCGATGGAGCATTCGAGGCTTGTTTGCATAATTCACTATTAATCGCACGGTATGGTAACTCTGCGTCGGAACAGATGATGGCAACACTGTTCATAAATTAAGTTTGGGTAAAAGTATCACTGCCTCATTTTAATGAAACAACCGAAACAATCATCCCCATTTGAATTAAATTACTCATCTCATGTTCTTTAATATTATTTTCTGTTATTGATACTTTGAAGTATTTTTCCAACAATAAAAAAAAAAAAAAAAACTATAATGACACATCAATAGAGAAACAAAAACACAAAAGAGTAATGCAACAAATACACTTTAGATAAACTGAGTCCAACAAATTCTTTTGTTGTGAAAATCCTAGTCACAAAATGTATACCAGTCGTCTTCCTCGAGATAAAACTCAAAAAGTCCCCAAGATATGACCTACGACTACAAGCGACTGAAATTGTTGTGGAAAAAAAAGTACCCTTCCAATTCGAGTAATGGGATCTTAAAAGAAACAGGTTAGGCATTAATGTAAAGTATCTTGAGCGTGGAGGCTCGGTAACAAAAGCTACGGCAACTCCTGGGCTCTTGTGTGGCGTAGTACATGGCCCATGTTAAAGCGCACACGTACAAGCAACACACTAGTGGATAAAGATAGAAGTAGGGGAGGAGGGGAGAGTGGTAAGGCAAGGAAAAAGAGAAAACATGCGGTTATGTCGAAGAAGGTTACCCAGAGAGCGCACGTCGAGGCAAAGGAAGACCGAGGTATGCTAGTACCTGTAGTAGTCGCAGTACAATACCTATAAGCACGGAGCAATCGTTGCACATACAGTGGGGGGGGGGGGGGTGAGCCACGGGATCTCTCTAGGGTGCAAGTGCAAGCAGAAGGGGTATAGAGGGTGGGAGGTACCGAACAAACTACCGGCGAAGGAGTCACCGATGCAAGTAAAGCAGCAGCGCCGCCAGCGCTGGCTAAACTTTCGGATCCATCGAACTAAAATTGTCGTGTAGTTTACTCCCCACTCAAACCCCCACTCTCTCTCTCGCTAAAGCTCTCTACCTCCAACAGGCAAGCGATAACCCGCGCCCAGCGACAAGGACGATATCATTTCATCCCCCTTGCCCTCGACGCTATACGCTTGCAAGCGCAGGAGCGAAGGGAAAAACTCGAGAAGGAGCTCTGCTGGAGGGAGGGTGGGAGATGGCCTGCAAGAAAAAAAAAGTGAGGTCCACGAGCAGAGGGGATGCGAAGTAGTAGGCAAAAGGGGGTGAGATGGAGAGAAGCGCGTATTTTATTGTCGCGTTTGCCGGTGCTAACCGCCTCGTTCGCTCTCCCCGAGCGTGATATCTCTCGCGAGCTAGAGAAACATAGCCACCGCTACTATACATATACCACCACCACAAGTACAACGAGCTAGCTGCGAGTGTACGTATGTGTGTTATTATACGCGTGCTAAAGATACAGCTCAACGACAGAGAGAAAGAATGAAAGAGAGGTGGCGCCCAACGGTTGCCCCCACTCTTGGTTTCGCAGCTGCCGGTACCTCCCATTCGAGGGAGAAGGGACGAGAAAGGGAGAGCGAGAGAGAGGAACATGCATCGGCAGCAAGGAGTACTTATATGTATATAGGTGTAGAACAAACCGCCTTGCAAAAATTGCTCCCCCACCCCCCGCCCCTACCTCGCCCGGCAGGCTGCAGGTAAGCAAAGAGAAAAGAACCACGGTGACAATTGCCACCCCCACCACCACCAGCATTGCAGAGTAGTATACCTATATGGACTGTACATACACTGCGACGACGAAGATGGACGTAAGCGTGTACCAGCGTACAGTTTAGTGGCCTCTCGCTCAATCTTCCCTCCCCCCCCCAGAGTGCGCGAGCCCCACTTGTTCGTTGCAAGTAATACTCACGTATATGTATAATACACTGGTGTATGTAGCTACAACGTGATCTGTCGGCTGCGTATACTCGCTTGAGACTACTATCAACGGTCATCGTACGTAAGTGCGCCCTTCCCCCGTGCACGCGCTCCCGCTCTATCTCTTTCTTCAATCCCCTTTTTTTTTTTTTTTTTTTTTTTTTTACAGTAAACCCCGTCCAGTACGTATAGGCCCAAGCGAGTGTACGTGATGAGAATACCGGGCACGCAAGGAAACCAGGAGAGAGTGGGTGGGGGGGGGGTCAATGTATATGTGCGCGGAGAGGAAAGAAGACAGCTTGTGGAACATACCGCGGTGGCTCCCGGTTTATAGTGGGTACCTGGGTGATTACCTGCCCCGCGTGCAGTGCCGCCCCTTCGGCACGTTCGGTACTCGCAAAAAAAAAAAAAAAAAACAAAAAAACAAAAAAGGAGCGAGAACGCGATGACTGGAGGGGAGATTGTCTCCCTTTTCCTCGCACTCGTTGCACTCGAAGCAACACACAGTCAAGCCGCTGGGCACGGAGAAAGGGTCTCTCGGGTGGGAAAGAATGGGACGGAGCTAGGCGGGGTAGAAATAAGAGCGAGAAGGAGGCTTATACGAGCCAAAGTGTGTATAGCATGCCCTGCCACTGAGTTACACGCTCTGCGCGTTGGCTACTATAAGTATATACTCCACCGCTACAAGCGCTACACAAGCCGTGTACGAGCTACACTCACTCTGATGCCTGCACGCCACGCCAGTTTGTACTTGGCGCCTAACAACGAAGGAGACCCGAGCTTTCCTTCTTCTCTCGCTCGCAACGGCTGCAGCAAACGTTATATACCATCGAGTGTGTGTACTTATATATCAATGCAACCAACGTCTGCGATCGATTCACGTAGATCATGGCTGTGGTGTTGTTATACTGCTTGTACGTTTCATAGTTTTTTGTCGAAGCGTTTGTCGTCTACCAAGGCAGGGCCACGATGTCAAGTCTGTCTTACACATCGCGGTCCGATTCTACTGCGAGCGCACACGTGTCTGCTGTCCATTGACTGTTACTACTGATTCGCGGACCAGACCCCTATACGACGACTGCTCTGCATATGCGTGCAACACAGCTGTAACTGTGTTCGAGCACCCTGCATCATACAAACTTGGGTATAATGTCAGTGCAGTGTTGGTGAGCACATGGACACACGCAAACACGCAGTGAAGTCGTACGCGTATACAGTGTCACCGAACAGAGAGAAGTGTGTTGTACAAGGCGCACCCCTCCCTCCCTCCCGCCCAGTGGATCACCATCACCACCCTGAACCGGGTACGCGCGCATGTATGCACTTACACTGTAGTCGCGCGACAAATACAGGGAGAGAGCCAAGAGAGCTGAACGAATCCCCACCACGTGCTCCCATGCGCGGGAGGTGGGGGGAGACGGTTGCGTAGCTCCGTCCTTGTTGGGCGCCACTCTGCCCCACCGCGTTAGTCGTCGTTGTCGTTGCCGCTGCTGCTTTTTGCTCGCGCTCTCCTCTCTCCGCTTACCCCCTCCCCGCACCGTCACCTTTTGCTGCTGGTCGACACACTCTCACGCGCAAGCACACGTACGCCGGAGAGTGGCGTTCGCGCGCGCACGCTTATACCATACACACGCGTGTGGCCGTGGCAGGGAAAGAGAGAAAGAAAGGGACAGATAGATGCGGCGAACAGAAAGAAGAACGAACGGGGGAGAAGAGAGAGAGAAAGAGAGAGCCAGTGGCAGCAGCAGACCGGACTGGATTCCGTCGAAAAGAAACGACGTTTCGGAGGACGATAGTCGTGACCGATCATAGCTGGCGCGCCGATCGGAGATCTGGCCGCTGCCGCTGTAGCCGCTTTCAGCTGCGGCTTTTCTATATACCTCACCTTCCCTTCGCCCGTCTCTCTCTTTATCTCGATACATTTTTCCTTCGTGTGTTTAGTTGCTCTCGTGTGTTACAACTGTGGCGCGAGTTTCTGGTGCTCAATGTTTCGTTGCTGCTGGTGTATTGTAACGTATAGTGTCAACCTCGTCGTGGCTAAAACAATGTGAACACTCGTACTCATTTTACATGAACACGATCACACGTAAACACCGAGAGGCTCCAAAACTGTTCCAGAACGAAAAAAAAAAAAAAAAAACGGGATATTAGAACCAAGAAAGTGAACGACATAATTGTACTGATATTATACTGACAAGTGAAACGCGGATGTGCTGGTTCGTGTCGTGTTGATGTATATATATATTTTGTTTTTGGTTGATTGGTTTGCTTCGTCAACGAGAAGAGAGAAAATCTATCACGAATTGCTCCAATGATTGAACAGTGACAATATACATATATAATATTATATTAACCGGTGAGAGCAGACTGCAGAGTGCGATAATATAATATACTGGAGGAGACAGGGATTCAAGGTCGCCCGGCTGCATGGGATGTTAAAGGGGGTGTGCGCCGGAAGGTACGTGTGTTGTTTTTCATCCCGTTGGGGGTTACTCCAACTCTCTCCACTATCTCGACACCTGCACGATAAACCAACCTCCTCGTCCATAGTGTAAAACATAATGTAATAAAAAAAAAAAAAAAAAAAAAAAAAAAAAAAAAAAAAAGAGCACGATGGTCGCGAGCGAAAGAAGAGGAAAAAGAGCCGTGGCGAGTTCCAGTTGAGTGTCTGCGAGATGCAAAGCAGCTGGTCCTCGACACGTTTCCGCAAAAAATTAGCGCTTACGATGCGCTACGAGCGCAAAATACTCGATTTCGCGAATATGCTGCGTTGACGTGCCGAGAGGGACATACACTCTGTTTCGTCGGTGTGCAGTACCAAAAATCGGTCTTGGTAGAGCGCGTGTGTCAATTTTGTGTATCCATACATGTAGGTGGTGGGAGGAGGAGATCGTTTGATCGAGACGTAGTGGTTTTTACGTAAATGCATGTGGACGGGAAAGACGAAACGATGATAGCGTAGTGGGTGTTCCCCGTGGATCGCGGCCCCTTCGCGGCCGACGCATCATGTCACAGTTCTCCTTCAGAGGATCGCCAAATTTACAGGTGAGTCGACGAATATCTCGAAACGCGAGCAATTCGCCCCACCAACCGGTCCTCTTTCTATCTATTTTTTTTTGTTTCTCCGACGCGTAGATTTTTCTCGGTTTTCTTCTTACCTTTCATTGAACAAATTAATTTAGAGACTATATACAATTATTAATGGTTGCTACAGTAGTACAAACCATCGGGATCATCTGAAGGCTAGAAATGTGGCAGTATATAAACGTCAAATCTTCATTTCTTTCTCGTGCAAAAATTATACAAATACAGTATTTTTTCGTGCGTACTAACTAGTGATCTTTTTAACCTACGGCAAGTTGGTTTGCGTGAAAACCAGGGTGACTTGGCACCACTTGATGCATATAACAGGACAACCATTCGTTTCTACCTCTGCAATTTTTATCAATATTAATACGATAACCACACGAAATTTACATGTTTTTATAGTTTAATGTCAATGTGTTGGAAATATCATGAAAAACTTACCAGATACGTGGACCCATCAAAGTTTTATGCTCGTCGATTCTTGAAAAATCAAACTGTAAGTGCTCCAGCCTGCGTGACTTTCTCCGCGTTTTAACGTTCCCCCTGAAAAAAAAAAAACGTAGAAAAATTTCACTCAAAGTGCCGATACATCGGAACAACTAAAATTGTATTGATTCTGCGTACACTTATAAAACACAAGGGCAGACAAAATCTGCAAAATAACATTCGAAAGTTGTTACATTGGCACGGGAGGCTCGAAAAATCGTTGCAATGGCCCAATTTTATTTCTTGAACCCAACCAATTGCCAGCCCAATAAAAATCTGATTGATATACAGCCTCAATTAAACAAATGGCTAATTTATCTCGTTCCCCAATGTAACAAAATATACCACCTGGTGGTATAGACGTTGAGCGTAATTATAACCTCCATCGTGCTCTATAACTCAGCGGCAACAGCCGCGACAACAACGCTATGTATATGCAATTCGAGAACGCCTTACAAAATTCAATTATTTTTAAAGCACACCTCATTATGTCCGCTCACGTGTTATAATTTATGTCCCGTACTTTTTTCCCCACGCACACACGTGCACGTGTTATAAACCATACAGCATCGCAGGTTTTTCCAAGTGGCGAAAGAAGCGTGTGTACGTATATTATGGAGTGTATATTAGGTACAGCAGCCACGAGACTTATTGGTAATAAAATCAAGTCGCAGCATCTATAAATTATCGTCGGTGGAGCGCAAAAAGGCAATCGTCGGCAGCACAACAATCGCGTAAATCAATGCGCGAAAAATCGCCACCCATATAGCAGCCGAAGAAAATACAGGTCCCCTTACCCCTTGCCCTTCTTGTCCTCTGCTCGAGGGAGTGCAGATACATGGTGTATAACGTATTATACAAGTACACACTCGCGACGTATAGATTGAAAAGCTAATCTTGCGACAAAAGTATAGCTCCAAGGAGAGCATACACGTATAGTCAGTGTATGACAATCGGCGAGAGAGCTTGCGAAACGAGTCTGTTGAGGCATAGTGTATACGTATATTATACCATGGGTATACAGAGGTGGGAGAAGCGAAACGGCCGAATTAAACGAAGGCGAGATTTTTGCGGCTGTAAATCAAGGGTACGGAGCCTAATGACACGGATACTCATCCCTCTTCCTCCCTCCCGTCGTCTTGTCGATAGGCTAGTAGCTTGCGCAAATTGCTGTAGGTGTGTGTGTGTATTACACTTGCTAAACCGTGCGCGCACAGAGAGCCGTTGCGTTGGCAGGCCTTAAAGGATGTCGGAGCTCGCATTAACCGAGCACACACGTGTACCACCCCCTCCTCCTCCTCCTCCTCTCTTGTATGGCCGTATAGGCATGCACGCGTACGTGTTGCGCTCTCGTGGGTGATTGTGTTTGTGTGTGGGTGTGCGTCTCGTATACGTGATCGTTATTGAAAAATTCATTGAGTGGCTTCTGAATTCGTCCGTATCCAAGTTGATTTTGGGACTTTGGTTGGAGAACTGTGGACTATATGGTCGGCGCGTCTCGAAAAGTGTCGGAACAGAAATGTGCCATTGTTGGTTTAACTGTGGTATTACTATTTGGGTGTTTAGGAAAACTTGAACTTTTTTTTTTTTTTTTTTTAAATCAACACGATGTGGATGTGAAGAAAACAAAAGTAAAACCAAATACACTGTTACGCGTGTTTGTGAAGCAGAGATTATGATACGAGAGAAAAATCGATCGTCCTTTGTGTGCTTGTGAAAATTTAAGGTCAACAGTATAAACCACTCGTCAGAGCTCTGTCCTGCAGAGATAAATGAATATATTTAAAGTTTTTTTTTTTATTTTACTATTCACTCCAGGGCGATAATTTTTTTAAAAAGCTAATTACGGCATTATGTAAACAAATTATCTAAGTACCCTATCACTCTACTGCCCTTTGACGGTCCAAAATTTGAGGTGCAAAAGATAATTTTAAAAATTTTTGACTCGCGTGTTAATTTAAGGCACAATTGTTGTTTATTTCTCGTCAAAAACTTTGACAAATTAGGCCTCACATGTAGTTAATTGAAGTCGTAATTGTTGTAACAGTGATGTACATTGTTTGAGTAATATTTATGGACCCGAGAAATATGAAAAATCGGACAAACGGTACAAAAGCGTGAAAATGAATGGTCACGCGAATTGGCCAATTTTTCAGCACTTTTCGAGAGGAACACGCATTTACGAGGAGAAAACTGAAAAAAAAAGAAAAAAAAGAAATAAATAAAACAAACAACCTCAGAGGTACACCCACAGAGCAGTCAACAAGCTAATCCACCCGCTAAGATATCGGTGCCATAAATATAAAAACTTTGCGGCTCTGCCAAGTTTCGGACGTACCGTTCCAATTTTACTTTGGTCGCACCACACACACTTACCAGAAATATACATTTTCCAGAAATTTGTATACAACTCCATCGACAAGAAAAATCACCGTGACATACAATGGATTAATTGTTATTCTGCATTAGTCACCTAAAACTCGATACTCCCGAAGCAATGACTCCACTTCTTTGGAAGGTAAAAAATGCGTCGCCCTTCCAACAACACGCAAACACGCCAGGGGCGATTCGTCACGCGCACAAACAAACAAACGTAAACGTGTCCCCCGTAGATCGAGGCGCGCGTCTAACATCGCGGGTATTTCGTTCTGTGTATATATATAGGCACTCGTGTAATAGACACTACCGGGGCAAATTGATATTTTGAAAGGCGAGAATAATTTACGCTCGCCAAACCGGTCTCGCTTCGGTTCTCCAACTGCGCGTATACATGTGCACACACTGCACAATAAATCCCGTATCGATATTCAACTCCACCCCACACGAGATACCGATGGATCCGTTTTGCTAAAATATGCGACGAAAAATGCCGTGTTGCACAAATACAATGTCTCGAAAATCTCTCCACGCGCCTCCAAAGATTCTCCGAGTTGGGCGCAAAATAATCAACTCGAGTGTTCCAATTTATCACGGTCAGAAGGGGACAAAGCAAAAAGCGTCGTCTCTTGGCGTTGGAAATTATCGAAAAAAACAGTTCTCGCGCATATTTGTCAAAGCAAAACACGAGAACTGGACGCCGGGGTGTACATGGTGTACGTACGGAAGGGTCTCGTTTCGCGTATTTTTAGATTTTTATGAATAAATGCCCGTGTGGCTCGTAAATTTAGCACCGGAGGACCGACATCGGTATACACACCGTGTACGGTCGAGGGACAGAGCGATCCATCGGGCTATAATCCGCGCTCGACTGTCAGCGCTTTTAATCGAGAATAATACGCGGCTCGACCGAGCGTGGTATGCGCCTTTACATATTTTCGGCGATTAACGGGAAAGTAATTCTCCATTTTCGGTGTCGGATGGAAAAGGGGGGAAATCCTGCTCGGGTTTTCTATTTTCGAAGCGGGATCTGACTCTTTAACTCCGCTCTCTGCGATCCGATACACTTTTGTTCGATCGATTCATCTGCATTTGCGGAAATTGATCGAGTTGGCTGTACATTGGTTTCTGCCGGTAATTATCGGCTTCCGGTTGCTCCTCTTTTTTTTTTTTTTTTTTTTTTTTTTTCATTCCAGTATACACTCGTCGCTTGAAGTTCTCCTGCTCGGAAAATGCTGTTGCGCTGATGAAGGCAAATCTAATACTGCCTCCACCGATGCCGGTTAGCTCTCTCGACGGTATTTTTCATCAGTTCACTCGTATCCTGTTATTAATGGACTGTAAATGATAAGATTTCCATTCATTCGCGCGTTCGCTTAATGGATCCCTTTCATTTGGTGAAACACACATCCGCTTGGCGACGCCGCGAGACGTGTCAATTAACCATTCTGACGGAATGACAATTATTCGTCCGATCGAATTTTATTTCTTTTTTTTTTTTTTAAATTCGCTTCTATTTCAGGCGGATGGCTTTGGTACTTTTCAAAGTAAATTTTTATTAAAATAGCACCCGATTGATCACAGTGTCAAAGCGACGAGGAGCTTTTCAATGCGTGTACACGTATCCGCATGGCAAGCTATATGAGGTGCTTACACATCGAGAGACGGGCTTGGAAGAGATACCGTTTCAAACATCCTCTCTGTTCGATTGTCTATTTATTTTTGCGTCGAGATAGCTACAACAAACATACAGAGAAGCGTCAAGTTGTTCAAGTGAAAATTTAGGTCGACAGAACTCGTTTTCGATGATTTCATGTATGCTCCGGCTGGAGGTATCGGGTTCTACAATAGTCGTGATGACTTTTCTCCCCTGTAAGTTTTTAGCCTTTTTTCCATGGTTATTATACGCATCCACGCGCGTATGCAAGTCTCCGTAAAAAAATACACGTTGAAATGGCGACGTCTTTTCGTATACTCGTGCTTTTTAAATTAATTTATTCCTATGTACAATCTATACGCGTACCGACTGAAAATATCGCCTCTGAGAGAACAGGATTGCGTCCAGGCACTTGAATATTTTTTTCCTCCCTCCCCCC